GCAAATACGCGCTTGCCTCATTGACATTCACTAAAATTGCGATCTGGTAAATGCGTGGCTTACCATGGATGTCCCGTCTGCCTTGTTATTCCCTACGACCCGTAGCAGTTTGGAGCTGCGATAATATTTCGAAAGTGTAGGCTATCTTCTCGGGTTCGACTCTCGTCAGGGTTGCTAGTAATACCCAGGCGAGATGGAAGCTTCTTTCTAATCTGGATAAGAATACCTTTTGACAGGCAAGGATAAGTGAAATTTATTGACATCATGAATCCTATTTATATAATTTTTGGGAAATTAATCTTTCAGTCCTTATGCGATATAGGGCAATTGCATCTCTTGCACAAGCTCAACTGATGTAATGTCGAAACGTCTTCTATACGAGTAAATGTTTATACTTGCATGAGTACCTTTCGTGATAATAAATACTTTTCAATGCATCACTATTTGTAAATTGTTATCTCTTAATTAGAAAAAAAAATTCTGTTGAATAATATCGTCTTAAAGAATAGTATCCACACTAAACTACAGGTTCGACAATCATTATTAATAAAATTGCGACAAATTTATTACTTAAATCATCCTAAGCTACCTGAGAAAACTAAGTTCATATTCAAGAATTAAAAAAGGTCTCGAAGCATGTTCATGCCAAAAATAAATTGAGATTCCAGGCTCACTGCTATTCCTCTTGTTCTCGTTTCTCGAAAATTATGTTGGTTTCATATTTTCGTTTCGATTCCCGACAGAATGTCTGAAAATTTACTTATGAAGGGAATCTGCCTTTCAGGGACTCCATTAATACAGTTTTGTTGACATGCTTATCATTTATAAGAGCTCTATTCACCTTATTTCGTTTAATGCGATGAAGTACTAATAATTGAATTTTCCCACATTTATATATTTAGGCCTCAGGTTTCCATTGAATTTCAGATAACCTTACTTCCCATCCACTTCAGTCTCGATCCCGCAAAGTACTCATCATGTACCCTGGGGGACTCTAACCCGGGTTGTTGTGATATGGGTCACAAGACAGAAGTTAATTTCAAGAAAGGCAAGGCCTTTCTTAAATCACTTTCTTTGGAAAGATTTTCGATGAAAAAAACTTGTTATTTTTATAACAATGGATTAAATTACTTATTTTTAGCTGCATAAATTGGTTTTTGAGACTACCAATAGATCTGATATTAGAGCTATAATATGTCAAGACTATATGCGGCATTACATCATCTTGTGTTCAAGTCCCTATGGGGGTTCTAATGAGACCTAGGCAAGGTCGAACATACATTCCACTCCTGCCTGGATGAGAATACCTTTTTGGAAGTAAGGCTATCTGAAATTTAATTGAAACATGAGGCCTCCTCATTTGATTTTGGAGAAATTACACTACCAGTCCTTCATCACCCTAAGCCAAATAGGGTGAGTACAACTTTTATATCAAATCTATTGGTAGTCTTAAAAACATGCTTTTAATTTCTTTTGAAGAAGCTAACGGAAGTGATTCGTAAGTTTGCCTCATAAGGAGCTAATTGATGAATACTTTGGAATTGTGCTTGTGGATTTTTGTGAAAAGATTTTCAGCACATCGTCCCACAACCCCAATTAATCCCTGGGAAGCTTGTGTCTGTCCCTCCATGACAGAAGACATAAGAAGGAGAAACTATGCTTTATCAAAATTTAACAAAGACCAATAAGCTACGAAGGTGGCCGGCTGCAGTACTACCGACTTTCTACACTTAATGAGACATCTTATGATTTGTTTGGTTGCTTTTTCATCATGTTTGTAGGGACCTGAAGTGGCCACTGACGGCGCGTAAGCTGCATGAAGCTGTGGCTCAGGATACATCTGCCTCATCTGAAGCACGTGAAATTTTTATCCTATAGCATTGATGAATGTAATTGCATTCCCTTTCACATGTGTTGTCTGCATGCGATGCTCATGCTTCATTTGAAGTGTGAGAGTGCTAACTGGGTTGGAGGATAGTCAAACATCCTCCTCTTGCTGTATGGCACACCTCGTTCTCTCTCTCACTCCCTAATCCTATCCAACAGCCACAATTAATTTCAGCTCATCTTCTCACAATTAATTATCCAATTAGGAATTTTGGCTCCTTTGTTGATTTCTATAGAGTCCCTAATATTTGAATTGCTTGTGTAATTTTCACATACCGTTGAGAATTTCGCTTTATACCAGTTTATCCGGCGTCCTGTGTGCGCCATGTGTCTGACTAATTCTTAGTTTGGACTCACAAACCTTTGCAGATTGTTTTAGGCCAAGATACCCTCGCATGTTTAGGTCAGCAGGCCTCCTCCTCATAG